ACTGAACAGTAGTTTTTGCTTTTTAATAGAATAGCTTCTATTTACTCTTTTGGCAATTTCATAGACATAAACAATGCATCTTGACAATATGCACTCTCAACCCCATCGCCAGGAACTCTCAGCCCCTCTCTCCCACTTCCCAAGGCAATGACTGAATCTCTCCTTTTAGTTCTTGAGAATGGGGCTCAGTGTGCAGCCAAGGTTGGCCCACACTCACTACACAGACCAGACAGGCCTTGGATTCCCAGAGGTGTGCCTGCTCTTAGTGCCTCCACAGTCCAGTGATCAACAGCATGCACTACCACAGCTGGCTTCAGTCTCTCTTCTTAACAACACATAGTTCTCAAATTGACTTTGGGACAAAGAATGTGGAAATTCTGAAATACTGAAGCAACACTCTTTTGCTGAAAACTTCATCTCCAAAGTGATTCTGTTTTTCTTTTCGGTCACTGACTCAATTACTTAGAGTGAACAAAAAAATTGTTTGTTTGATTGGTTCCATGGGAAGAAGTTTGAGTTCATTTTTAAGATTTATTTATGCACTTTTAAAATGTACATGGATGGTTTGTCTGCATATCAGAAGAGGCTTTCGGATCCAATGGGACTATGGGTATAGATGGTTCTGAGCTGCCAGTGGGTGCCCAGAATTGAACTCGGGTCCTCTGGAAAAGCAGTCAGTGCTCTTAACTGCTGAGCTGTTTCTCCACCTGCCCCCAATTGTGTTCCCTGTGTCTTCCCTTCCCTTCAGTCCTCTCCCATGGTCCCCATGCTCAGGAGATTTACTCAGGAGATCTTGTCTTTCTCTACTTCCCATGTAGATTAGATCCATGTATGTCTCTCTTAGGGTCTTCATCGTTGTCTAGGTTCTCTGGGATTGTGAATTGTAGGCTGGTTTTCTTTGCTTTATGTCTAAAAGCCACATATAAGTGAGTTTTAAAGAGATAATACTTACCTGCAAGGCCCTGTACTGGATAAACAGCCTGTTCCCAGCAGGTTTCCTCCCCAGGACTTGTGGACAGACTGTATTCGTCATCCAGCTGGAGAACAAACCAAACCATGACAGCATCCAGCACGCCTTCTTTAGTAGCAGGAACACTGAGGGGGTGTGGCTCTTTAGTTGCAAGACTCTTTAATTCCTGAGAAGAAATATAAAGTGGGTAAGAAAACAGAGTCTAGGAA